CTCAGTATATGTATATAGTAAGTGTGTTAGCGATATTCCATCCACTTTTTTTTAAAATTTTTCGATCTTTTCAGCTTGCCTTAGCGAACAAACTCCATAATATGTATAAGTAAACGATATTCCAGTCCATTCCAGTGAAATTTCCACTTCAGCTTTTGTAACGTATCCAAACTCCATATTATGTATGAGAGTTAAACTATATTCCAGAGTCTAACCACGGAAAGATTTTTGGTTGGGAGACTAATAGTTCTTTCCAGTCGTGTATCAAGTGTCGGTTTGGTTTGGTCGAGAGGTATGGGAGAATTGCGATTTGATTGCCATCCGCAATTCAGTCAGAATGTTTCCCAATCTTCAGGCTTTCTGTAACGGGGTCGGAACAGAGATAAGTGCAGTTTTTACGTATTTATTTCTGTCGTAGATTTGACAATATTTTATAATGGGTTGTCAACCTGACTTTTGCCTTGAACTACAAGTTGTCAAATACACTATTTTTTTATAGCAATACTGGTTAATGAAACGAGTACTGGAACAGGTAGAAAGAATTAAGAAATCAGTATGAGCTAAAAAAATGGATGAGAACTATTAAAACTGAGAAAAACGAATTTTTCTAAAATCCAAGAACATGCTTGCCCTGTTGGCATAAAGTATTGAAATTTCCAGAACATTAAGAAACTGAATACTCAACATCGACCTTTGTTTCTTATAAAAAAATTAGTGTAATCGTTTGAGAGTTTTTGCCTTTTCAGACTTCTTTCAATATTCAGTTGATTCTAAACCTAAATTTAAAGACAGAGATTTTTGAAAATTTTCCTTTTTCAGACGATCTTTTGGGAAAGAGAGAGAAAATTATCTAATTTAAAGCGCGGCTATTTTGAAATTTTTCCAAATCTTGCCCATCTCTTGACTTAATTTACTTCCTGCTTCCCTATACGAGTCACCCGTACGGTAGCCTGAGTTCCAGACCCCAAACTAGAAGTCCCGTTTGGGCTGTAGGCTGCCAGATCTTTCTTCTTTTGGAGTTTTATGTCATGGACTCCGACACAAGTTGGAAGCTGGAAAGTGGAGGAGGGGCAAAGGAAAATTTAACATTTATAACAAAAGATTTTAAAAAAGCTCTATTGTTTTGCCATGTCCCCCGGCCCCCCTTCGTCAGAGGCCCTGTTTGTTGCCTAAACTTTTTGTGCCAAAAGCAAACCTAACACGGAAGTTATTTCTCCAATTCAATCTCTGTAATAAGCACATCCGTTTGTTCTTATCTCTAACCTCAAACCATGCAAGCCGGTTGATGACACCTGATTTAATAGATGATTGTTGATTTGACGGGAATGTCTACGAATCACAATGACACAATACCAATCATGTTATGATTCGTAGATCGTGGGACGATGCCATAAATCGAGTCGTCATTTGTCAAACCGTGACGTAACGGGACGATCCACGGTTATCTGACGGTACGATCCACGTATCATATAACGATGTGAGTGTGTCCTCGGCCAAAGACGAAGATTTTTATCTTGAGCATTCCAAAGACAGAAATCTGCCGTATGCGCTTGTCAAAGACAAAGATTTTTGTCTTTCAAAGATAGTCTTCGAAAAAAAACATGTTTATTTAAAAAAAACATGTTAAAAACAACAAAACAGTGTAGATTTCAAATGCCACTAGTGTTATTCTAGTTGATAGAAAATATGATAAATCTAAATATAATAAATTGAACAGATTATGCGAAGATGCATTTGATGTAAAGGCGGTCTACTTCTCATTACTTTAGTATTTATGTTTTTTTCTGCGATCTTTTACAGTAAGGTTTGATAAATTTGGGTGTCATTCCTCTACAAATGACATATTCTTTCTTTGGCATACAGAAAGCAAATCATCTTTGATGTGGTGACCAGTTTGCAGAATTTCTTAGTCCAGATTTCGCTTTGTAGAAAACAGTGTCTTTAGTTGTCGATGTGTATTGGGTATGGACTACCGGGCATTCAATAAGGCCCCGTTTACACGATTATTAATATTATTATTATCATTATTATTATTACATTATTTAAAGTTGGTATTTACAATAGCTAAATACAACAGCTAATTAAAACCAACTATATACAAAATGAAAATTTACGGAGTAATACTAATACTTAACTCAAATATTTGCATAAATAATACTTCGAAGGGGGTTTCCACTGATGTTGTTCTACCGACAATTTTTACATTGACAGTTATCACCCTTCCATTCTTTTATCAACATTTTGAATTTATCAACAGACGGTGAGTCTTTTATAGTATCAGGCAGGCTGTTTCAGAGGATGCTGCCCCTGAAAGCTAATGAACTGGTGCCGTAGGTTGTGGTTTTGGCTTTTGGCAGTTGTAATAGTGAACCTGATCTTAGATTATAATTACGAATTCACTTTATATCGGATTCGTTTTATACCAGATAGGCCTTCTGTTTACACGATGAGGACCCAATCCGATATGCTATCGCTTCGCTTTTGCGGAATGAAACACTCTGCTACGAAAGTGGTATGAAACCAATCCAATATCTTTTTTCAATATATTCCTTATCTTTAAGAAGACTTCACACTCTTCCCCTCTTTCCCCTCGAATTGAGAGTTCGCTGCATGCGATCTCACGGTCTTTAGCAACAGCTCAATTTCTTGCTAAGTTCAGGAAAAAATTTCTTCCTTAGCTTTCTCCCCTGTTCCCGCCATTTCGCGACTCAAATACCAACGCAGAGGCCCCATAACAAAAGACTGCATCTCGCAGTGCCGAGTATCTACTGTCGTGTAAACAGGCGCCCTATCTGATATTAAACCAATCCGATACTGTGCAGGCTGCGTTTACACGGGGCCGGCCGAATATTTGGTCGGTCAAATATTTGGTCACTTAGGCCTTGCATTTACACGGGGCCGGCTAAACGACCTCAAATTAGGTCACTTAAGGCCTGGTTCAAACGTCGCGCTTCTCATGTGCCGAACCTAACTCGAGAATCAAGTACATGAGGGGCGCGACGTTTGAATCAATTTGGTACGGCAGATTTAGTGAGGAGCAGCAGACTTGTTTGGATCGGCAGAGCTTGCCGAGCTGGCTTCAGCACGGCACGGTTTCAAGCGTCGAACTTGTCATGTACCGAACTCAATGCATAATTATATTTGATTTATTTTCCTTTCCAGAATTCATTTCTTTCTTGGAGGGCGTATGCGTTTCAAACAAATATTTGAGTTTGCGCGCCTTAACCAAGATACTTCATGTAACAATCCTAAAACCCATTTGGCGCGACATGATTAAGTTCGACGTTTGAAACGGGAGTCGCGCTAAACATGCTCAAGTGTCGCTCCAAACAGAGTTAGGTTCGGCACATGAGAAGTGCGATTTTGGAACCAGGCCTAAGCGTGCAAATATTCGGCCACCTAGGAAAGGGTCCTTCTTGAAACTTGGCCGGCCGAATTTGCTAGCGGCCCCGTGTAAACGGTTATGGCCGCTACGGAGGCAAACACAAAATGGGAAATTGAAATTTTGGGGCCGAAATTAATGTATTGTTGTTGGTTAGAGTCACTGGAAAAGTTATGTTAGCTCTTTGTTTACAATGATTTTTGGCTTCAAGTTTTTGACACATTGCGCAAGTCATAAGAATTTGGTCAGTTGAGCGGTCCCGTGTAAACGCAACGCCTAAGTGACCTTATTTGTGGCCGGCTTCAAAAGGCTTTAAGCAGGCCAAATATTTGGCCGACCATGTATTCGGTCGGCCCCGTATTAGTGCAGCCACAGTGTGTTATTTTTCGTAACAGCATGCGCCAGGTAGGAAGTGGATTCTGTGAAGTGGGTGATATAGGATCTCACAGTCGCAATCTTGGACACTTTAACCGTCCCTATTCCTTTTGCACTGGTTGATAGAACAGCTCTGCGGCAATCATACCTGTTTACTACAGAGTCTTGCC